ATTTTTTCACACCTGCCTAAAACTTTTGCACAGTACTCTGTGTGTGTGTGTGTGTATAAATAAAATTTTGCTGCTTGGAATATAAGAGCTGAACATAGAAACAATTTGTAGTAAACAAAATGAAAATGTCCTTCACTGGACTTCAAAATAATCTCCTGAGCTATTGTTTTGCATACTATTCAACATGTTTGGGAGGAGGTTATATTCCCTGAAAGAATAGGCTGAGAATACTCTTTGATCCAACATCATGGTAAGAAATCCAGTAACCACATTCACATGTAGGACACGAGGACAATAGCAGCCTCTCATTTATGTTCCCCAGCAGTGAATCCTCAGAGGTATAGCACTTCTAATAACAAAGAAAATCATGACTAGTAGATATCTGTAACCTTCCCCTTCATGAATTCACCTATGCATTCTTCATTGTTCCTGTACTATATGCTGTGTGAAAAAGTACTTCACTTGCTTGTCTTGAATCTTCCACAATTCAGCTTCATTTGATGACTTGGATTTCTAATATTTCTTCAAAGTACGTAATTCCAGTTCTTCCAGCAGAAATTAAAAAAAAAATCAGATGTGAAAATCCTTTCTATCTGTGCATGTGAGGAGGTGGATTCTAGCTATACACTATTGGGTAGAAGCTGCTTTAGCTTTATAGATCTCAAATTGTGTCCAGAATAGGCATTGGCTTATAGCTGATCGTGACTGCAGCCACACTCTGCTATTTATTAAAGGAGGTCCTTTTTTGTGTCTAAATAGGAAGGTGAGGCTGCTTTAGGGAATCAATTTGTTAATGTGATTTTTAAAACAGACACCATTTTTTCAGGCTCACATGGAATTTTTTCTTGGGAAATATTAGTTGCTACCTTAAATCCTGAAAAGCATGCTTATCTTACATTGCAATATGTTTTGGCACTGGAACACATAATGGATTAAGATTTAGGGATTAAATCAGTCTCTTTGAATTTCTTTTGAAAAGTACTGCAAAATAGGCCGTTACCTACAGCTGATGAGCTCCAAGAAGAGCGAAACCTGTTAAAATAGGTCCTGTAGTATTGGCCTTAATAAGTAGTTCTTTGCATGGTCATATCTACTCCTTCCTTTTTAAATTCTTCATAAATCAGCAAACCAGATAAATTCTAAACTCAGCCTGGAATCAACTATAAGCTATTCAGTGCTGGGGTTTATTAGGGCTTTAGCTGGCTTTCCTGTAGATTAATAATAATAATAATAATAATAATAATAATAATAATAATAATCTGGCTGTTCTGGGCATTTTTCTATTTTTCTGCACCATTGCATCTACTTTACCTTCCTGTTTTAATGTACATTTTATTTTTCTTGATTTAATTTTACCACAGAAATGGGATGAAGAAAGAAAATTAAATGATATTTTTAAATTTAACATTCCAAAATATATGCTAGCCAAATTCTGAGAAGAATTTGGACAGAGACTACTACTTTGGAACAACCATTACTAGCAATTTTGAATTCCTGGTTTTTTGTTTTTTTGTGAAAGTCAATGTGATAAGTTAGTTCCTTAATCGTGATACTCTCATTTCTTAAACTGATTTAATAATGAAGTCAACAGGAGAGAACATGCCATCTGTTCATAGCTGAAGAGTTTTTTTTCAAGAATACCCCCACCATGAAAATTATAATTGTACCATTGGGGACTTTATTTAATAGAACAGTTCCTAGTGGAAAGAAGAGGTTATGCTCTAGTGCAGTGTAGGAAGAAGCACATAATTTCCTTTTTGAAACTCCCAGCCCTACAGTATAATAACTGTTCTTCTAGCTTATTTGCTGGTGGTTGCAGTGGAAGGTTAATTATTATGGAACTTTATTAAAACAAAGGTGTGGAAGTTTCTTTGAACTCCTGGCATTTGCTTCCTGCTCTACATAGATTTAGTTCAGTTAATACATAGTAATTCACATTACCTAGTGGCTTCTTTTGGCTGTTTTCTGCAATAACAGATGAATACTGAAAGAGTTCGTGAATTTCTTCTTGGTAGTTAAATTCTCTCTGAACAGTCAGCTAAAATTCTAAATTTGTTTTTAGGATGATTGAGGAAAGTGGAAAGAGGAGGAGGACGATGGCAGAGAAGAGACAGCTCTTCATGGAAATGAGTAAGTAAAAGTCTTAAAGTTTGAAACTTCATTTAAAAATGTGTTGTAGCCTCTTTAAAGAATGTAACCAGATCCTGTTTCTCATAAAGGACTGGAGTTATTAGGTTAAAATAACGAGGTGTTGTTCCTTAAGAATTTATGCCCTAGCCTTCAGTCCTTAAAAAAGGTTTAGTGGTGACCTTATATTACCTTTTCCTATTTAAGCATCATTCCACACTTATTTCTCACTGTGATGGTAAGTTCGGATTCTGGAATGTACTACCTCATACTCCTCTATGCAAAGTATAAATAAGTAAAATTTTGCCACATAAAAATGCCAGGAAGAAATATTCTTTTTAACATGGTAGTTAACCATGTATAGGTTACTTTTCATGAGGTGGAATATTTGAACACACATGGGAGAGGGTGGAGTTTGACATGATACAGAAGTAGTACAATCCAGATAAAAGTTTGCAACTCCTTAAAGATTAAGTTTCTAATGTAGTTGTAGTTGTAGCTGGACATCATAATGTAATTAAAGTCCTCTTTTCATTTTAAAATTGAAATACTATATTGAGAAGACTCTGCTTTTAATTTATAGGGGCTCAGAATTTTGATGTCATCAGACTGTCAACATATCGAACTGCCTGCAAACTCAGATTTGTGCAAAAAAGATGTAATTGTAAGTAGAAAACTTGGCTCTGGAGGGAGGGTGGAACTTGATAAAGACATGTTTCAAATTAACAGTTCGCCAATTTTTCAGTTCTATGGAAAATGTGAATAACATTTTCAAGCGATAATATGAAATGAAAAAAAAAATCCTATTCTTACTATTTAGTGGAAGAATTGCTGCTATGATACTTTTCAAGTTTGTGTAGGATTTCCATAAGAACTAATACTGTATTATTCTAAACTTTTTGTTGTACTCCATTGTTTCGTACAATATGCTAAGTCCTAAGCCTGAGTTAACAAAACACAATTGCTGTGTTCATATAGGATGTTTTGCCCAAGACATAAGCTATACTTATTATTTGTTTATTTAAATTACTTATATACAGGTAGTCTTCACTTACTGACCACTCGTTCAGCGACCGTTCGAAGTTGCGACGATGCTGAACAAGTGGTACTTATGACTGGTCTTTGAAGTTCCAGCAGTTGCAGCACCCCTGTGGTCACATGATTGCCATTTGTGACCTTCCCTGCCGGCTTCCCACAAGCAAAGTCAATAGGGAAACCAGGGAAGGTTGCAAGTTGCTCTGGTAAGTTCTTCCCCTTCCTGCGCACCATGCCACACCCTCCTATCCTGGGCTCACACACACACACACACCATCGCCTTTCTTCCTCAGCTTCCCTGTGTTTGCACACACCCCACGCCCTCCTTTCTGGGCCTTCCTACACTTGCATGCACTATAGCCTCCTTCCTGGGCCATCCTACATTCTCATGCACCTCATGCCCTCCTTCTCAGGCCTCCCTACGCTTGCACGCAACCTGTGTCATTATAAATTATCCTCCCCTCAAATCTCCAACCAGTGCAATTAATATATAATAGCTTAATATGATAGCTTGGTTCACACAATAGACTAAAACAGGCTGAATTTCTACAATATGATTTATTTATTATTTATTTATTAAATCAATTTATATAGCCGTCCATCTCACCACAGGTGACTCTGGGTGGTGTACAACACAGATAAAAACAGTAAAATATATTTAAAATATATAAAACAAAATAAAACAGAGAATAAAGGGAAGTTAAAAATAAGGGAGATACCTCACTAATTCCCCTGTCCCCTGGAGTCCCCAGGCCTGCTAGCATGATCAAATCTTAAAGGACCTCCGGAAACTCAACAATGACGAGGCCAGTCTCACTTCAGGGGGGAGAAGATTCCATAGCACAGGTGCCACAGCAGAAAAGGCCTGCCACCTGGGGCCTGCCAAATGTATCTCCCTAGGTGATGGAACCCATAACATGCCCTCTCTGCTGGATCTGGTAGGATGGGCAGATGAAATCAGGGAGAAGTGGTCCCTCAGATAGCCCGGCCCCATGCCATGAAGGGATTTAAAGGTCAACACCAGTACCTTGAATTGGACCTGGAAACAAACTGGTAACCCATGCAGGTCACGAAGCAGAGGTGTAACGTGTGTTCTGCTAGAAACACACATAACTGCTTGTGCTGCTGCATTTTGCACCAGCTGAAGTTTCTGAATACTCTTCAAGGGCAGCCCCATGTAGAGCACATTGCAGTAATCTAACTGGGAGGTGACCAGGGCATGAGTGACTGTGAGTAGGTCCCGTTGATCTAGGAATGGGCGCAACTGGCACACAATTTCAAAGTTGTGCAAAGGCCCTCCTAGCCATGACTGCCACCTGCTCTTCAATCAGGAGTTAAGAGTCCCGGAGAACCCCCAGATTGTGCACAGGGTCTGTTTGGGGCAGTGTGACCCCATCCAGTACCAAAGATGGTAAAATCCTAGAACCAGAGGGGCTTGAAACCCAAAGCCACTCAGTCTTGCCAGGGTTCAGTTGAAGCTTGTTGTTCCCCATCCATATCCTCACGGCCTCCAGACACCGAGATAGGATGCCCACAGCATCGTTTAAGTCGCCAGGGGTGGAGATGTACAATTGAGTATCGTCATACTGATAATACCTCACCCCATGCCAATGGATGAGTTCACCCAGCGGTCTCATGTAGATGTTAAATAGGAGAGGTGAGAGCACTGACCCCTGCGGCACCCCACATAGCAGGGGGTGGGGGCGGGATCTCTCTTCCATAATCACCACCAACTGGAACTGACCCTGGAGAAAGGAGGCGAGCCAGCACAATACAGTGCCACTCACCCTCAAGTCTCTGAGTCGGTCCAGAAGGATACCATGATCGATGGCATTGAAAGCCACTGAGAGGTCAAGTAAGGCAAGGACAGATGCACAACTACCATCCTGCCCACGCTAGACATCATCCAAAAGCGCAACCAGTGCTGTTTCTGTACCATACCCAGGTCTGAACCTTGACTGAAAAAGATCCAGATAATCTGCTTCTTCCAAGGTCCTCTGAAGCTGCTCCACAAGCACCTTCTCAATCACCTTACCCAAAAAGGGGAGGTTGGATACTGGATGAATATTGTCCAGTATCATGGGGTCCAGCAACGGCTTCTTGAGCCTCCTTAAGAGGTGCAGAAACAGCCCCCTCACTCAAAGAAGGATTCACCATCGCCAGAACCCACCCACACGAACCCCCCCGGGCTGCTTTCACAAGCCAGGAGGGGCATGGATCTAAAGAGCAGGTGGCTGAGCTCACAGTCCTAAGGACCCTGTCCACTTCATCAGGCCCAACAGGTTCAAACCGTTCCCAGATAACTGGTCAAACCTCCACCCTAGATATCTCCCACAGACCTGCAGCAAAGCCAGCATCCAACTGCGGATGAATCCAAGTGATTTTATCCGACAGATGCTGAGCAGATTCCTCCGCACAACCCTGCAAAAGGTTGTCCGGGCCCCCTGTACCCAAGAGGACCCGTATCACCTGAAACAGGGCTGTTGGGTGGCAATCTGCGGATGCAATAAGGGTGGAGGAATGCTGTCGCTTCACTGCCCTTACCACCACTTGGTAGGCCTTAATAGCAGCTCTAACCTGTGTTTGATCGAGTTCGTCCTTAGATGAGTGCCAACAACACTCTAGACATCTCTTCTCTCATTTCATCTCCCTCAGCTCCTCCGTAAACCACGGGGAGTGACATGATCCACTGGTGGGGAGAGGTTGCATAGGCGTGATCCAATCCAAAGCCTCAGCCACCCTTTTATTCCAGGCAGCAATCAAGGCTTCAGATGGGCCGTGCAGTCCCTCTGGAACTCCTCTGGGTCCATCAGTTGCCGGGGGTGGACCAATATGGTGGACCTGGACCATAAACAACTGAATCCCTTTTCTCTAGCATGCTGTAAAAACTCAGCACTTCAGAGATGCATGGTGTTTTTTTTTTTTACCTATTCTATTCTTTTATAGCTAGAGGTTGTAAATAAGTATTTCTGGAATGAGATCCCCCTTGAAATCCCACCCTGATGGCATTCTGTAAGGCCTTGAAGACCTCTTTGTTCTCCTAGGCCTTGAGTTAAAATCGAGCACTTTGCGGGATGTGTTTTTGTATATAGTGACCAGTTCCCATCTTGTTTTGTTTTGTTTTGTGTTTTCATGTTTTATTATATCGTGAGCTGCCCCAAGTCATTTTGGAGTTGGGCAGTACCTAAATTAAATTAAATAAACAAATAAATAATTGATGCAGGGATGGGCCACAGGCTTCATTTATTTTGGGGGAGATTAAGGGCCAGAAAATAGGCAGGTCTATGTTTTTGGAGTAGTTGAAGGGGTGGTGAACTAATGGGCCTATTTTAGGACTTATACTTCGCTTAGATGTTCTGTTTCAGAATAAGAAATTATGCCTTTTGTTTTCAGCAGTCATGGTCACTGGGTTCTGTAGGCTGAGAAATGAGAACTGGGGCCATGCACAGCCCCAAGAATGCAGCGTGTCTGCCTGGGATTGCAGTACAGGTAGTAGTCCTTGGCTTACGTCCATTGGTTCAGCAACTGTTCTAATTTATGGCGATGCTGAAAAAATGAATATATGATTGGTCCCCGAAGTTCTGGCCATTGCAGCACCCCCACAGTCACATGATCGCAATCCAGGCACTTGGGTGCCTGCCTTATGATTACGGTGTCGCAGGGAGCCACGGTCATGTGATTGCCCTTTGACATGCAAAGTCAATGGGGAAGCCGGCAGGGAAGGTCACAAATCGCTCTGGTAAGTCGCTTCCACTGGTAGCAACCCCGGCCCACATGCAGCTTGACTGGCCCTCCCAGGCCTCCCCCAACTCATGCGTGGCCTGCGCCAGCCCTTCCAAGCCCTCCCCGGCCTCCCTAGATTCACACGCGGTCTGCCCTTGGCCTCCCAAGCCCTCCTTGATTATCAGGCACTTGAAAATGCAAGTGTAACAAAGAGGGAGAAAGGTACTTCCATTTTGGTCACTGTACATATCCTGTGTCTTTTATATGCAATCCAAAAGACTTCCGCACTGAGTACTATCATATCATGATGATGTAGAAGTCAGAGAAAATCCTCAGTGTTTATGTACTTGAAAACAAAATGTGCCTGAATAAAGGAAAGTGCTGAGGCGGTAGAGAAAATTCTGCTGTTCTTGAAATATAAGACAGTGTGCAGTGAGGATTGTATAGCCTGATAGTTGTTAAAAGACATAAGGTTGTGGCAGAGGAGAACAGTGTATGATTTTTGAAGTGATGTTGAAAGGCAGGTCAAGAAGACTGTGTTAGGAGGAAGTATGTGTGAGTGATAATTGCATTATATGGTACAGAGCAAATTCCTGTTACTTGTTAAAAATAATATCACAAGAAGAGGGTGTATCTGAGGTCACTCAGCACTGAGAAAAGGAGTGTGAAGAATGAATACATAGTAATATAGTATCAAGAAATCAAGGATGATGGAGAGCTCATGTTGGCATAGCCATATGAAAAGTGAAGGAGTGGATTCTTGATCCAGGAGAATTAAAATCTATTGTCCTGTTCCACGTAGCTTTTAATCTAATTTAATAATGAATGTTTTTAATATATTTATTGGTTTTTTAATTAAGTGTTGTATGCCACCCAGAGTTACTTTTCTGTGAGATGGGTGGCTATACAAATTTGATAGATAATTAAATCCTGTGCCATGCTTGAAGAAAAAGAGTACCTTTTCTGTATTTACACACACTCTTTTTTGTGTCATTGGCTTTACTTCTGCTTTCTCTTCTTGGCTTTCTGTCCTGGCTCTTCCAGGGGGGGAAATCACTCTATGTGAAAATAGAGTTCCATGGAATGGGAGAGATCATTTCTGCCAGAAAAAGAAAGCCCAGTGGCTGTGCTCAAAGGGCTGTTCTTTCTCTTTTATGACTATCAGGGGCTGCTCTGTCTCTGAAACCACCACTGTGACTGTCTCAATTAAAGGAAAGTTATGGCAAAGCTTTAGGATGCAAATAAGGCCAATGTACATGGGGGAGCAGAAGGGCAGGCATTCAGAAATGATACTGCATGAGATTCTTAGTAGCTTATATTTGCCCTCCTTACTGCTAGTGCCAAGGAAGCATTTAATGGGAGGCAGGCTGAGGAGCAGGGTGTGAAAGCCTTCCCCACTCCATTAACGATTTAGATAATAATGAACCGCAAAGTGTGTGGAGTGCCTGCTTCCTCTCTTTCCAGGCATTTTGTTGGTGTTTTGATGAACATGACGTGCAGCCAGTCAGTTATCTCCAGATTATGAATACCCTGCTAAGGCAAGGCTGTACTATAACATACCTAGAACAGGCATGGGCAGTAGTGAGTGCACCATGTGGTACACCACTGTAATACCACTGTTGCGTAAGCTACACTGGCTCCCAGTAAGTTTCTGAGTGCAATTCAAGGTGCTGATTGTTGCCTTTAGAGCCCTACATGGCATGAGGCCAGGTTACCTGTGGGACTGCCTATCCTCCATGAGTTCTGCTTATCCTACTAGATTTGGCAGGGTGCGTGCTTCGGATCCACTCAGTAAAGCAGTGTTTCCTGGTGGGGCTGTGGAAGTGTGCCTTCTCTGTCATGGCACCTGCCTTATGGAACAGCCTCCCCCCGAGATACAGGTGGTCCCAACCCTGTTGGCCCTCAGGAAGGTGGGAAGACCTGGCTTTTCCTCCAGATTCTGGGGCCAGGATGTTGATGGAATTGGCACGGAGTGGTCGGTAGATGGATGAGGGTTTTTACTGGGACCTCTACAAAGTTTAGTGTTTTAAATGGCTGCTTTTACTGTACTGTGTTTTTATTTTGTTCGCTAGATCCAAGCTAGATGTGGGGGGAATAGCATGGTTGGTGAGGCAAGGCTTGTGTTAGTGGGATACAAGAGAATGACTGCTTTGGAAAAGGCAGGCAGGAAACAAACAGCAGTGGCCTGCCTCAGCCTACCCTAGTGAAATTGGCAGAAGAGGGGCAAGCCTCCACTGTGAAGAAGAACGGAATAACAACAAAGTAATATGGCTGCCCATCTTGTAGAGCAACTCTGGGCAGCTGATATAATAGAAACATCAGTACTGATAACAAATCACAAAAATAATAAAAAACAGAAAAAAAACGAAAGCAAAATATAGTAACCAAGTGGTAGGAACAATGATACTGTAATGGTTAATTCACAAGTTGATGAAGATTCAAGGGCTGATTTTTTTAAACAGCCACCTACAAACTTTTCTATTATGAATGAAATTAACTGTTTTGTAAAATTATAATAGATTAATTAAAACCAATCGGTCAGCATCCAACATTTTAGATTATAAAATAGGAGACAAAGAGGAGCTGTGTGTGTGTGTGTGTGTGTGTGTGTGTGTGAGAGAGAGAGAGAGAGAGAGAGAGAGAGAGTTGTGTATATGTGTAGCATGTAAAGTTTGTGCTATTCTGCTTGCTGCTTTTTGCCTGCTTCTTCTCTCATGATCTTTTCCACACTGAGAAATCTTTCTGGATTCAAGGAACTACATGACAACTTTTAGTAACTATCCAGTTTTTAATTTAGATAACCTGTCTGCTTACATAAGTTGGGAAAAGCATGGTGATCAGCGATATGTACCTCTAATTAGTTGTTCTGGAACTGAGAAATATACTAAAAGGAGAACTATATTCAAGCTTCAATTCAATGAACCCATGTAATTGTTTAATTGTATGTTGTTACCTTCTGTGGTCATTGTGTTCACTGGGACAAAAGAAAATGTTCTCTGTATTTTCTCCCTCCCAAGAACATTGGCAGATGTGAACAGAGCCTAGATCAGCTGAAAGGGTCTAGGGATGCCCATCAGCCACAGGAATGCATATTGCTCTTACTACCCAGGTATGAAGACAGAGGCTGCATTGCTCTGCTCTGGGGAGGGCACTGCGCCATCTCTGCCAGCCCTCTGATGCTCCTGCCAGGCCCTGCTATGTCAAGTCAGGAACTAAATCTGGCTCTGATGCTGCTCTGGGGTTTTCTGGGCAGGTTCATCAACATGGGGGTTGTTGCTATGCTGGTGGAGAAGTTTTCCCCAGAGACTTCTCAGCAAAGGTAGGAATCCAAAAGCTTCCTCCAGAAGAGCCAATAATAGGTTAATTATTAACTCTTAGAGCACAGCCTGACAGTTTTATTAATGGAAAATCACAAAATTCTAAGGAGTCATGGCACTGCAAATTTAAGAACCCCTAGTTTAAGAAGTTAATAGGTGAACATAAGCTGTTTTTATGGAAGGAAATTTCTGCAATTTTTATTACAAAATTCTTTTGTAGAATTTCTTTTTTAAAGATATAGCTAGGATTGCAACAAAAGGGTGTATCTAGTAGTAGCTATAAAATCATAGAACTGAAAAAGTCTGTTTAGTCTGTGGAGTCCAACTTGCAGGAGTTAATTATTAAAGCATCCTTAACAGATGGTTGTCTGGCCTCTGCTTGAACATGTGAAAGGGAGAACATCACCGCCCTGGATAATTGGCACCACTGTCAAACTATTTTTATAATTAGGATGCTTTTTCCTAACATTCAGCCAGAAACTGCCTTCTTGTAATTTAAATCTAGGAATGTTCAAAACATACTGATTTGACAGAGGGACATTCTAGAGAACTTTCTCCTGGATGATGCCAGTCTGGAACATCATGTCTGGGATGCTTCAAATTGCTTCTGATTTGTAGGATTTACTTCAGGAAATCACCGAACTGTCTCTAATACAGTATTGCCAGAGAAGGAACAGAATGTTCTGTGGTCGTTTTTTATTTTAAATTTATTTATTTATTTATTTTACTGAAGCATATATGTCGCTCCAATCTCAAACAGCTTACTATCCCTACTTTAATTTATTATTCCATGAACTACAATCTGGGATGACAGAGAACAGGCTTTGACCATATGTGTGATCCTGTTTCTAGCATATTTTCCTGCAGTCTTTTTTTTCCAAGGTTAAACATTTCCAGTTCCTTCCATTTCTTATAAGTTTCCAGTCTATGATTATCCTTGGTGTTCTTCTCTGCAGTACTTCCAGTTTCTTTGACTCTTCCTGAAATAGTGGTGCTCAGAAGTGGATAAATACATGAAGTAGCCTCAGACCAAAGCAGAATATAGTAGTAGTATTACTTTCTGTGATTTAGAAACTATACTGTAAGGAATGGTTAGACTAACTGCTTATTTTGCTTCTGTACCTCAAGCTTTTGCTGACCTAGTGACTGTGTGGCTAAGGGTCAGTCTAGATGCTATTAAGGAAACTAGTAAGGTTTTTTTGCAGATAGGGAACTCATGAAAGTTACAAGACGCTGAGCATGTAAAAGTTATGCTAATAAGAGGAAACGGAGGGAAATGTGGTTAAGCTAAAAGCCAAATGTCTTGCTTGCTCATATCAAAGGTCCTGAAAAGGGGAAACATCTGCAATTTTCCCCGTTCCTCCTCCTCCCAAGGCTAGACCTTAGCCTGGAAAAGGGAAGACTGACCCAGAACAGGGGTCTACAGGGACTTATAAGAAATAAGAGTTAGGGGCTTTCATGGGAGGGAACCCATTTGAATTAATATAAGCAAACAGGGG